GTCTCTACCTGAGCTATGTCTTGCTCACTGAAAAATCATCTTCCCACAGCAGTGTTGTGTTTTGATGACTCCCCACTGCCACGGCTGAATGAGTCCAGCTTTCAGCCCAGCATCTTCTGTGATCTGGTCCTGGCTGCCCACCTGCCCTTTGTCGTTACACGTAGAGGGAGCCTGTGCAGCCGCTCCCTGACGCCTGGCGTTCACCGCACAAGTGCATGACCGCCGAAGCCTTTTTTTTTTTCTCAAAGATTTATTTTATTTATACAAGAGCTGGGGTACAGTCCATATGCGCGGGAGGGTGAGAGGATTCACCAGAAACAGAGTGGGGATCAGAACAGGCAGATCAACCGAAGTACACTGCTGAGGGGAGCAGCAGGCAAGTTGGGAGAGGTCTGCCGCACCATGTGGGTAGCCCCTTGCCCGGGGCTCGAACTCATGCTGCAGTGGCTGCGGATTGCTTCATAGGTTGCATCTTAACTCTTGTGCCACCACCTAAGCCTTTTCTTCAAATAGAAATGTTTTAACTATTCCTAGCTGCTCCCTCAACCAGAGAAAAAAGTTTTAGTTTCCTCAAGGTTTAGCGCAGATGATCTTCTTGTTGGAAGTGTGATTCCTTGCTCATTTATATGCTGCGGTCTTAGTTCACATCACACGTGTGGTCACATATGACCTCACATGACCTCGAGTGCTGTAGCTGTGTGTCACGGCTCCAGTGGAGATGAGCCCGGTGACAGCAAAGAACGTGTTGTATCATCGTCCTTTCATATGGTAGACGTGACATGTGTTTTTTAATGTTTATTGATTCATTGAGAGGTTGAATTATACCATTAATTAAAAATATCAGCTGGGAAAATTTCCTCCATTTGTTTTAGACTTTTTGGAGCCATTATATAGATGATAATAAAGGGTCTCATTACTTCGCTCCTCTAAATTAATGTAGTTGTCATTCTTTTGGCCTCAAAAATCTGCCCACCGCCCCTAGAACACTTACTCTAAGCAAATCTGCGATTTAAAAATGTGGTCTCCCCCGAGTCAGCGCTGTGCTTTCTACCTGACCATGGAGTGCTTGTCCATGTCCACGTGAGGGCCAGCCACAGGCCACAGTGACGCTGGGGGTGTAAGAGGTGGCAGGCCATGACGTTCTAAGGAAGAGAATCCACACCTTTTTGGATCAAGCCTTAACATTTTAAAATATAGCTTCTGTTCTGGATGGTTCTCTCTCTGTCTCTCTCTCTCTCTCACACTCAGGCTCACACACTCACGCTCACATGCACACTCATACACACTCACATTGCAACACATGACCAGAGCTGACGAGCCGTGTGCCGAGTCCCCCCCGCAGCCCCCTCCACCGTGGTTGTGGCGCACGCGGCTCCGCCGGCGCCTCTGCGGACTGTTGGGCAGCGTCTACAGGCAGTTTTCATTTCACCTGCAGATACTTAGGAGGCGCGTCTTACATAATCACGAGGTAGTCATTCCTTCTGGCACCTTCTGCGTGCGTGAGTTGTTCTGAGGATATGTCAGCGGATAACACACCGTTCTAGCCTGGGGAAGACTGGAAAGCACCAGACACATAAATAAGCGTAACGGAGAAAATTGATATCATCCAAATTTCAAACTTCTTATCAAAAGGCAACATGAATAAAACGAAACCAGAGAAAATGCTTGTGCAATGTAGATCTGACAAAGGATTTACATCTAGAAAACACAGTCAACTCTTACAGCTTACTAGTAAAACAAACAGCTGTTTTAAGAAATAGACAAAAGTCTAATAATAAGCATTCCGCACCGTCGCTGGCCGTCGGGAAGTGCAGACGAAGGCCACAAGCACCCGTGAGACTGACTGGTCGCCTGCTGCTCTGCGGTGTGAGCCGGCCCAGCCCCTCACGTCAGGCTGGCACTTTCTCACGAAGATCTTCCCGTGACCTGGCAGCAACACTCCTAGATATTTACACAAAAGAAGTGAAAATCTGTGTTTGTAAAGAAACTTGTACAAGATTATTCATCGCAGCTTTATCATGACAGTCAAAGGGGGAGCGGGGATGTCCGTCACCAGAGTCGTGTCCACACAGCGCAGCTCTCGGGCTGGAGCTGGCGCCGACGTGACTGCCACCGTGCTGAGCACAGGGAGCCAGGCCCCCTGGAAGAGGCTGGTTGTCCATTTCCACTTGTATAAACTTCTGGAACAGGCTAAACTGACCTCGTGTGGAAAAGTCTAGGGTGGTTGTGGCAGGGAGGGAGTGACTGGGGGCAGGAGCTGCTTTTGGGGAAAAGGTCAGTTTTCTGTTTGGATAAGGTGCCCAGCGGGCCCCTGTGCAGACCTCCGGCTGCTCCTCCTCACCTCTCTCCTCTCCTCTGCTCGACCAGTGAGCTCCAGCTGCTTGGGGGACCCCACCCTGAGTTCTGCCACCCTCCTTTCTCCAGACGCCTGCTTCCTGCCCCTCCCTCAGGGCTCCCTGCCCCTTAGTGCCTGATGGCTTTTGTGTTGTGCTGCTGCTTCATAGGTTTCTGTCTTTTTTTTTTTCTTTTTGGACTTGTTTCATGCACGAGAGTAAGTCCCGTCCTGCGTCTCATTGTGCCTGTGTGGACATCCTAGATTGGACAGTGCACCTCCTGGGAAATACATTGTCTCGCCTGCCGCAGTGCGGGCTGGGGTCTGTGCTGGTCTTTGCTGTGATTCTGCCACTTGCACGAGGACTGCTTGGCACTAGTGGGGCCCAGTGAAAGATTTGGATGAGATGCAGCGCTTTAGTACAAGAGCATTTTCTAACATGTCTTTTGGGATACCATTCTCTTGCTTATTACAAACAGAAGGTTCTGGAATGAAAATTGGTGAATGCACATGTACCAAGAGTCCCATGATAAAGAACATTGTTCAAACCAGGGAAATTATTTGATGAGGGATATTTTTTTCTCCCCAAACACCTGTTAACCTCATAGATAATTTATGCTTTCTGGAGCACATTCTGAAGACATGGTAATTAAGGTAATGTTGAACATCTTATGAGTGTAATAAAACTATGCATATTTATCTTTTTCAGTTTTTATAAATTATAGATACTTATGATAATTTATAGATTTAAAAGCAGCATTATTGAGATAGTCACCTAGCATACAATTTACCCATTTAAACTTGATTTTAATGGATTTAAGTACAATCACAGATATGTGTGACCATCGCCACAGTAAATTTTAGTCCCTCAAAAAACCCCCTGTGCCCTTTAAATTGTCAACACCCTATCTGCCTTCACCCCAACCCCAAGGAACTACTAATCTACTTTCTGTGTTCAGAGATTTGCTTATTCTGGACATTTCCTGTTTTGTTTGTATGTTCATCTGTTGGTTAACATTTGGCTTGCTCCCACCCCTGGGGGTTCCACAGGACATGCCTGTAAATATGTGTAATTGTGTAAGTCTTCGCGTGGCAGGTGCTCGCACTTCTCTTGCCTGGGCACCTGGAGTAGACCTGCGAGGCAATCCTGCAGCTGTGTGCACCTGTCTGAGCCACCAGACTGTTTTCCAAAGCAACGTCACCTTCTCCGTTCCCTCCAGCAGTGTCTGAGGTGTCTGAGCTCGCGGCGGCCTCACCGGTACTTGCTGTCCCCGGCTTTGCAGCGCCACGGCCCGGTGGCTGGCAGCGCCTCTCCTCGCAGGCTGACCTGCGTTTCTCTGACAGCGGCGGCCAGGCTGCGCTGTGCCCGGCCATCGTGTTCCTCTGCGCGGAAGTGTAGACTCCTGTCCTTTGCTGACTTTTACATTGGCTTTTTATTATTGAAGTTTGTGAATTCTTCATATGTTCTAGATTAAGTCCCATATCAGATACATGATTTACACGTTTTTCTCATTCTGCGGGTTATCTTCATTTTCTTGACAGTGAACTTTGAGGCCTAAAGTCTTGAAGTTTTAAATTTTGATAAAGTCCAAGCTGTTTATGTTCTGTCCAGGCTTTTGGCTTCAAGTCGTGTGTGTGTGTGTGTGTGTGTGTGTGTGTGTGTATTTGGTCTCTACTTTTAGCAAGTCAAAGCCATGGACTTCTTTTGATTTACCGTTTTTATGGAGGACACAGTTAAAAAAGACTTGTCATTACCTTTGAGACCATAATACATGATGGGTTTTCATTAACATCCAATCAAATTGCATTTGGCCGAAAATTCCAATCATAGCATGAAGTAAACGGAAAGTGATATGTTCTAATTGAATTAAGATAGCATAATGAAAAATATAATCAATATTTATTGATTGTAAAGCATTTTATTCAATAAAATAATTTTCCCTGGAAAACTTTCTTCTTTGTCCTCTACCACTGACATTTCCCTTTGCCATTCCTCTTCAGACAACAGAAAATGACTGGTAACTGACGAGATTGGCAATTGACAACTGGAACGGGAGTGACTTTTCATTGGCAGAAGAGGTTGAGCTGGAGTGGTGAAATGTGATGAGAACATACATGTTGTTAAGCAGGGTCTGTTTAGGAAATGCGAGGAAGGCGCTTTGCTCTGAGGGGACAGCAGCAGTAGCGCTTGTAAGGGATGTTTCTTGGCCATGGAGACAGGGACTGCTGGGAAGGCCGAGGGGGTGGACAGGACTTCCTGAGGACCTCACAGCAGTTCCACTGAGTCTGTTTTACAGCATAGAAGTCCACGGAAACAATTTAAAAAGAGGGCCTCTCTTGAAAAAGAAGTAGTAAATGGAAATGTACCACTAAGAAAGCTGAAGCGTGGGGCCTTCTCCGGGCCGGCTGGCTGAGAGCGTTGCTTTTTCGACCAGAGACGCCAGGGCTTTGCCTCCTGCATGAGCCTGCCTTCCTGCCAGGAAGGGCCTTTCTCAGTCTGACTTCATACTTCTCTCCAAGGACTGTACCGATGTCATCGCTGCGTCTCAATCTAGAGAAAATCTTACTTTTTCATGCAGCATGTGTCACTTTGCGGACCTTTGGACTCATATAGATGTGTCTTTTCTTTACAGTCAACGGTTTAATGGTGTGTTTATTTCCTTCACAGCATAGGATTGCCAAGGGGGCCACACGTGGCAGCGGCAACACCAGCAGTGCTGGAGAGCGATGGAGACCGAGAAGAAACCTGGGCGCGATGAGGATGAAAATGCTGCTGAAGAGGCGGTAGCGGTGGCAACTGTTTCGCCGAGAGATGCGGACGGTGGGCCCCCCTCTGCGGCGGCCGCTGAGAACTGCACAAGCAAACGGGGTTTCTTGGAGTCGTCAGGCTCGGATGGGGCTGTCGTGGAGGAGGACGGAAGCGCTCGTGCTGCCAAGCGCATGAAGTTAGCCGAGGGCGAGTCCCCGCAGTCTGGAGAGCAGGGCGCGCTTGGGACAGAGGCCCCCGAGAGCTCGGATGGAGGCGGGGCAGCGCAGGTGGCCATCCGGGGCAACAGCTTGGATGGGGCACCGCGTCCACCCCAGGCCTTCTCCCTCTCGGGCAGTTTTCACACCACTGAAGCTGTTTCTGTGAAAACAGATCCCGAAGAAAAGCCTGCTCGGGCAAGGGCATCCCCTGATCCAGAGAGGGCCTCTCCTTCATCCCTGCAGCAGATGAGCGTCGCCTGTGCCCCTGGAGACGCAGACATGGGTCTCAGGTGCCACCTGTGCGGTCAGTTGTTTCCTTCCAGCTCTGACCTGCAGAAGCATGGCGACTGCAGGTCGCAGCCAGCAGAGGGACACGCTTGCCACCACTGCGGCCCCGTGGCGGGGAGCAGCGCCATGTTGCATGCACAGGCCATGCGGGGGCCAGGGCCGCAGCAGGCCTTCTCCTGCGACCTCTGCGGCTTCCAGTGCTCGGAAGAAAGCCTGTTGGACGCACACTGCCTCGGGAAAACACATCTCCGCCGTCAGAACCTCGCGGCTCGTGGAGGATTTGTGCAGATCTTAACAAAACAACCTTTTCCTAAGAAACCATGTGCCATGGGAACCAAAGGTGGTCCTGCAAAGCCACGAGCTAAGCCAGCAGCAAAGACTAGTGTTTCCAAAGGATTACAGAATGCTGGGGGCATATGCGGAGATTTCAGGGGAAGCACGTCCAAGCAGAGTGGAAGCAACAGTGAGCTCCTTGTAGAGATGACGCCCTCCACGGACCCTGTGTCAGAGCGAGTAGAGGTAGCGGAAGAAAACGTGGCTCCCTGTGGTGTGGCCGGGAACCCTGAAAGCCAGAGGATGGAGCTGGGCCCCGTCGTGACCTCAGACAGTCTCTTAGATCAATCTACAAAACACACCCCACCTTCGGCGCACGAAACCGGTGCTGCCTCAAAACCCAGGCCTGAGCGGAACATTCTCCTGTTGAGCAACAGCTTCCGACGACGAGCTGGTACTTTTGCCCTAAAAGGTCAAGCGAAGAAAAGGTTTAATCTTTTAGGAATTAATAAAAGAGGCACAAGTGAAACCCAGAGGATGTTCATGAAACACTTTAGAACACAGAGAGCCAGTGACGCGCAGTCAGTGCCCAGACACGCCGGGGTCAGCGGCAGTGTCCACGGAGCATGCGGGGCTTCTCCGGCCACTCAGGATCCTCAGCAGGGAGGGGGGGACTCCCATCGCCCGTGCTCCCTGGACTCCCTGACCGCAAGGCCAGCTTCTGACCACCAGACGCCGTGGACTGGCACAGACTGCGGCCTCCCAGCTGCGGGCAGGACGGAGCTGGAAGTCCACGTGAGACAGGGCCATGCGCGCGAGAGGGCGTTTTCCTGCCAGACGTGTGGTCTTTCCAGTACGTCCAAGGGGGAACTAGAGGAACATTCGCATGATAACCAGCATCAGCAAACTGCCTCTGTCCTCACTTGTCAGTGTTGCCCATTTACCTTCTTGAGTGAGCTGAGCCTCAGGGAGCACATGAGGGAGAAGCACAGCGCGGGCTTTCTCTGCACGCTGTGTGACCTCCTCCTCCTGTCCCCGGAGGCCGTGGAGGAGCACAAGGCCGCTGAGAGGCATCGTCATCTGCTGGGCCAGTCAAAGTCCTCTCAGCCACTGGATAGCGACTTGGTTTTTCAGACTTTACCTTTGGGGACTTTAAAATTAGGAAACACAAAATATCCTACGAGTGAGTCAGGACAAGCTGCTCAGGAAGAGCCTGTGCCGTCCAGGGTAAGCCATGGGGGTGAAGTGAGGCATTCGAGCAAGCCTCAGTTCCAGTGCAAGAAGTGTTTTTACAAGACAAGGTCGTCCACTGTCCTCACCAGACACATAAAGCTCCGGCACGGCCAGGACTACCACTTCCTCTGTAAAGCATGTAATCTTTACTCACTGAGCAAAGAGGGGATGGAGAAACACATCAAGAGAAGCAAGCATCTTGAAAACGCTAAGAAAAATAATATTGGCTTAAGCTTTGAAGAATGTATCGAGAGGGTGTGCATAGGTGCCCATGACAAAAAAGAAGAGCTTCCCGTGGCCGGCAGTGGCAGGCTGGAGGGCCACGTGGATGGTGTGCAGCTACAGGAGCAGCCCTATGTGGAGAAGAACAGGCTGGCACCCAAGGAGCTGTCCCAGCCGGGCGTGGGCGCCAGGGGTGAGGGGTCAGCTCTGAGCGGGACTCCAAAGAGAGGAAGGCCTAAAGGCAACAACACCTCTCGGACATGTTCGCATTGTGGACTTCTGGCCTCCAGCACGACGAACTTGACCGTACACATCAGGCGGAAGCACAGTCACCAGTACAGCTACTTGTGCAAAGTGTGTAAGTATTACACGGTCACCAAGGGAGACATGGAGCGCCACTGCGCCACCAAGAAGCACAGAGGCCGCGTGGAGGTAGAAGCGCATGGAAAGCAAAGTGCAGACATCGTCGTTGGCCCCGAAGGGGGTAACCTGGAAGCCGGTGGAAAAAACTCGAGCGCAGCAGTGACCGTCTCCGCCGAGCCCGCCGAGCCAGAGCCCGCCGCGTCGGGAAGGCCGGTGTTCGACCCCGGACACCCAGAGGAAGTGGAGGTGGAGACGGGCCAGGACCCCGCCGGGAAGGGCCAGGCGGGCCCGGAGGCGCCGGACCTGACCCCGCCGGGAGGCGCCTGCGCCCCGAGGGACGCGGCGGGCCCCGGCGACCACCGCTGCGCGCACTGCGAGTTCCGCGCGCACTCGGCGGCGTCGCTGGAGCTGCACGTGAAGCGCCGGCACACGCGCGAGTTCGCCTTCTACTGCCTGGCCTGCGAGTACTACGCCGTCACGCCGCGCGAGATGGGCCGGCACGCGGCCACCGAGAAGCACCGCGCGCGGCGCCAGGCCTTCCTGCGCGCGCCCGAGGAGCAGCGGCGCCAGGGCTGCGAGGCGCTCCCCGTGGCCGCGGCCCCGGCCCCGGCGCCCCCGCGCGCCCGCTCGCCCGAGCGCCCCGCGGGCCCAGACGCGCCCCGCTCCGCAGACGGGGAGGCCCAGGGAGCAGCTCACCTCGGGGCCGGCCACCCCCTCGGTGAGGCTTTCCAGCAGCCCCTCGCCAGGGAGAAAGGCCTGCACCCCGCGGAGACGGTGCCCCTTGGCGCTCCCTCCAACCACGGCTGCCCCAGCAAACCTCACGAGGAGAACTCGGGAACCTTGGCTCCCAATTTTGAGACAGCAGCGCCCCCCGCCACGGCGAGCGACCCCGGGGAGCTTCGGCTGCGGGGCGACGGTGCGGGGGGCAGCCCGGCGGGGCGCGGGGGTGCAGTCCCGAGCCTGCTCGCCTGTCCCGGGGCTCCAGACCCCGCCCCTCCGCCCGAGGGTGCCGGGCAGGTGCCCGCGGCGGCGAGAAGGGCGAGGGGGCAGGAGGACCCGGAGGGCGGCGGCGGGGCGCAGGCCCCGGGGGCCCTGGAAGGCGCGCGCGAGGATTCTGCTCTAGAAGATGAGGCAGTGCTCCTGAACTCACAGCAGGAAGCCAAGATGGTTCTGGAGGAGGATGGCCCGGCTCCCGCTGGCACGGCCGAGAGCGGGGATGTTTATGAAACCGTCGTCAGTGTTGATGATAAAGGCCAGGCCGTGTACAGCCTCCGCCGTTTCGATTCGTCCATAATAAGAATAAAGAGCCCCGAAGACGGGGAACTGATGGGCCATTCTGAAGCGGGTCTCGTGGCCGGGGTGAGGACTGGTGAGTTGCCCGTGAAAGACGCGGCTCAAGGCGCGAGGAAGAAGAAATCCGAAGGCGCTTCCCTGGGTGAGTCCTCGCGCATCCGCTGTGACGACTGCGGCTTCCTGGCAGACGGCCTGAGCGGCCTGAACGTGCACATCGCCATGAAGCACCCCACGAAGGAGAAGCACTTCCACTGTCTGCTCTGCGGAAAGTCCTTCTACACGGAGAGCAACCTCCACCAGCATTTGGCGAGCGCCGGCCACATGAGAAACGAGCAGGCCAGCGTGGAGGAGCTCCCCGAGGGAGGGGCCACCTTCAAGTGTGTCAAGTGCACAGAGCCCTTCGACTCCGAGCAGAATTTATTCCTGCACATCAAAGGGCAGCACGAGGAGTTGCTGCGGGAGGTGAACAAGTACATCGTGGAAGACACTGAGCAAATCAACCGCGAGCGAGAGGAGAACCAGGGCAACGTGTGCAAGTACTGTGGGAAGATGTGTCGAAGTAGCAATTCGATGGCTTTCCTAGCACACATCCGCACGCACACAGGTAGGTAGACCGCGCACGCCTGTGGGAGCTGCGCGGGGCTGCTGAGCGGGCAGGGCTCCTTGTCTGGCCTGGAACCCTCCAGCTTTTGCTTGTTGGCATCTCCTGGCTCACGGCCTGCCGTGTGGCCCTGTGGGCCTCGGCAGGGAGTCGGAGCTGACACTTAGTGGGCCCGAGAGTCACTGAGCCTTAATGAACCCTGCGGTATATTATTTGACGCATTTCTCTTACTTTTATCAAAAAGCCTGGTTTCTCAGATGCCTTTGTTACACTCCTGTCTCTTACAGGTTTTTGGTTGTTTTTGAATCCTAACGAATGGATTCCAAGTTGTCTGTTAAGTGACACCTTTGGGTGTCAAAGGACATTAAATGGCCTTTGGAAAATGGAATGCTGATTTTTTTAAAAACAGTTTTAGAGATTGAAAGATCCTTATTGCCAGATATTTTAAATCCAAAAGTGTAACTTTCAGGTGACAAGATTCTACTCTTGATTAAAAAAATCAAGTCGACACCTTAAAGTCACTGTGCCTTGGTGAGGGGGTACTTATGGAGGCAGCGCCCAGTTAGCATCTGTGCACATGTAGGGTGCCACTGTACTGCTTAATTTTAGGTAGAAATGAAAAAAAATAACTTTTTTTTTTGTGGAAAATGCATAAGCCACTGTTCTAAATTTATGTAAAAATTCACTGCACTGTTTCTATAAACCTGCCATACATTCTTTATTTTAAATAGACAGCTTTTCTAAATCACTGTGCACTGCTTAGACAAGTTCTGTCTCCATGGTTGAATTTATGAGTGGATTTGAATAATAAATTCACATTTCAATGAACATATTTTCATTAAAACTGTAAGGTTTATTTTACTGTACTTTTAAATAATGGCTTATTATTAAAGCTATACTTTAAATTCATGCAGTTTTTGAAACTTAGTGCATGGTTACAAGGAGGAAGACAAAAGAGGATGAAACATTATTAATAGTTTAGGGTGATTAAAGATAGATACAAGTTTTTCATTGAGGAAAGTAATAGGGCAACCTGCATAAGATTAATCTAGGTAAATGTAAACTTTCTAATCTTGATCCCGACTCTTCCCATCAATGGAATTGTTGTTTTTGCTGTGAGTCCAAATACTTATTTGTGGACATTATTAATTCCTCCATTGATGCTGTGTGACAGCTGACTTTCTGACATGACGTGGTTTAGAAACCAGGCTCGTTCACATGTGCAAAAAATATGTACTTTCTTAACATGCCCTCTTAAGGCAGATAAAACCGAATAAAACTAAGAGGAAGATGCTAATGGAGCTCTTTTTAGAATTCTTTATGCAACTGTCTGGTCAAGACATGTTGCTTATAATTGATGTGTCCATTACTTGAATTCTCTTGTAATTATAGTCAATAAGTCTTGTAAATGTGTTAAAGCTCACTAAAAGCATACAAATTCAAGAACAGAGTAAGGCTAATAATTTAAAATAATCAATGTAGGCATTTCAGCACTTAATTTCCCTTGTGTGTTGATAGCTGATCATTCTTAATCCATTAAGATTTATTTAGTCGTTTACAATGCAAAATAGGTTTGCACTGGTCACTGGTGCCATTTGAAAATGTCCACCAGGTTAAGTGCAGAATGTAGTCCATTAGTCTTCCTTGACTATATGTATTAATTGCATTTAAAATCAAGTTAATGTGGATGTGAAAGTGAGGTAACTATCAATATGTGACAAAGTAACCCTACTTATATTAGTTACATCATTGATTGTAACATTTAGTAAAAGTTAGCATACTTTTTAACATCTGTGTTGGGCTTATCAGCAAGTACATTTTTATTATGTTCTGAGGCGCCACAGAGCGCTCCTCAGACACATGCCAGCCTCCCATTTCAATCTGCAAGTCATTTTTGGGAGCGAGTTGCTATCCAGGTTTTCAGTCCAAGGTTTTTTCTTGGGGCATTTTAAAATAAATTGCTTTTCTGATACTTTGTTTATGTCCATGAATAGCAGGGGCGGTTATTAATGGTTAACTGGAAAAGGGCTTACTCTTCCAATCCCTGTTTCCATATTTTGTGATTTACTATATGTTTTATGTAACCTTTTCTTCCATCCTTAGCACCATAAAACTAGCACTATAAGAAATAAATGAGTTTGGTTATCAAGAATTGTAGGAGAAAGGCACCCCAGTTTCCCTGAGTGCTGGCTGGTGTGAAGCAGCCAGTGTGACCAGGCAGAGCAGTGCTGCTTCCCCTGCCTGCGAGCCCCCCAAACCTGCCGTTGTGCCCCCACGTTCCTCTGTTAGAGCTTCAGTTTTGTCTCACATGGAAGATGCCGTGAAGCCAGAGGACTGTCTGATGCGCTTCGCCTTTTTTTTTTTTTTTTTTCTTTAAAGATGTATTTATTTATGCATACAAGAACTGGGGTATAGGCCAGAGGTGTGTGGGGGGGGGTGAGAGGATTCACCAGAGACAGAGTAGGGGACAGAACAGGTGGATTGACTGAAGTACACTGCTGAGGGGAGCAGCGGGGGAGTCAGGAGACGTCTGCTGCGCCATGTGGGTTGCTCCCTGGCCAAGGATCGAGCTTGTGCTGCAGAGGCTGCGGGTAGCTTCGTGGGTTGTGTCTTCACCCCTTATGCCACCAGGGAGGCCCCAATGCACTTTGTTTTGTCCACAGCGCACTGGTCGCTCTGCCATCGCAGGAAGGTACGGGTGTGAGATCTCAGGGACCGTCTCCGCCTCAGGCTGGCGGTGAGGTGACATAACATACAACAGCTTTCGAGGCTGAATGGGCTGGCGCGCAGACGGCCAAGAGAGCCAACCTAAACACTTGAAGCCCAGTGAAAACAGGAGCGCCCCCTTTGCACACTGCTTGATCTCCACACCCACACATTGCTGGTACTCATGGTTATTTGTTGAGTGAATGGCTGAGTGAAGTGTTTAGGGGATTATAGAATAGAGCTGTAGTTGAGAAGCATCAGATGATGGGGTATATGCATATTCCTGGATTCCTTTAAGGCCTAAATCATTACTTCTCAATGTCATTGTCACGGCCAGGTATGTGTAGCAGTTCGGAAAGACTGGGCAGAGGCCTGCAGGGCCCAGCTGAGGCGCCAGGCAGCAGAGCCCCGTCGCTCACTCCTTTCAAAAGACCTCACAGGCCAAACTAAAAGAAAATACTGTACTAAGGATCATGCTGTTCCACGGACTGCAACTGCCTGTAATAATGTTGAAAGTTTATAGTAATCATAATACACCCGAGAAACACAAATTTAGAAATGTGATTTTTATTGAGTTTGCCTTACAAACACTACGTATTCTTTTTGGTGTGTGCATAGGCAAAATTAAAAATGGAAACGTTATCAGTTAGGTAAAAAGGGACTTTTTTTCTTACGTAGGAAAGGATTACTTCCAGTCCCCTAGTGTTTGCGTTTTTATGCCACAGAAAGGAGATGTTAATCCAGTCTGTCCAATGTTAGATACAAAAACAGTCAGGGCCTCGGTGATTTCTGCCTCCTTTGTGTGGTGTCAACATGCCGCAGCAGTGATCACTAAACCCTGAAGCTACTAGAGTTTCCACCGAGGAGCCATGTAAGTAAATTGAAAACATGAAGGTTCTGCTTCAGCCCCTCGTGGCTCGTGTGTGAACAGGAGGCGGAGCTCCGCGGCATGGGGCACCTGAGCAGGGCCCACCGCCACGAAATCTCGCCCAGCCGCAGCCCCCGCGTGGGAGAGCTTTACCCTCTCTCTTGGGAGGCCTGATGCTATGGCTAGCTAACACTCTCCCGGTTACCTTGTGATCTTTAGTGCATTTTAATTTAAGGTACAGGTAAATTAGTCCTGTTCACGCTTTTCTTTTCCAAGTCGCTTTATAGAGTTCCATGTTGAGATGAAATGTTTCGCAGTAGCGCCGGACTCAGTTTTATCAGAATCATTTAAATAAACTGTAGTTTCTAATGTGATTGATAGAATGTGATTGCTGTAAGCTGCAGTCTCAACCTGCTCTTGACATTTAAACATATAAAGCTGACTAGATATAACCATTCAGGTGCTAAATATATTTTACATCTACTTCTACCAGTAGAAATGGAAGTATTAAGAGATCTGGCTTCATTGTCATTGAACTGTGAAATATTCAACCTTGTCTGCCCGTGCTTAGTTCTGTTGACTTTTTTATTTCAGTTAGAAGATTAAAATTAAATGCTTCACTTTTTTTTGTCAGCTTTTGGGAATTATATTGAAATTTAAGACTGAAATTTTTTACTGAGGGCTTCAATTTCAACAAAGTATTCTTGGAGGGTTTTCTTTTTCCAAGGGCACTGCACACAAAGGTGCACTGGTCAAATATGATTTATTGCAAATTTTAAATTTGAGCTTTTTGTGTATTTATTAAAGTTTCCATTTCATATGTCTAATTATATTAGAGGAGATATTTCACCAATAGGTACTAAATATGATATGAAAAGTCAGGAAAGACATTGCACTGATTTTGTACTGTGTTTTATGATTTTGGTTTACTTATCTGAAGAACTTTGTGGTTAGAAAATTGGAAAATGATATATTTGTGTTGCATCTTAAGAGTGTGTATTCACGACAGCGCAGCTGATCTATTAATAACTACACTCCAGTTGGAGTCTATTACGTTAAGATTGTCCACTCTGAAATAATTTTGTTTTCTCAGTTTTGAGATTGAAAAACATTTTTGTAGCTCCTTTGCTTCTTGTGTTGAAGTATTTGTTTTTAAAATCAATGATAGCCAAAATGTCAGTACTTCCGGTTTGCAGAATCATCACACGTTTTTGGCTACAAAGTGATCATAAAAGCATAATGATTTTTCTACTGCATGCATACATTGAATGCTGTTAAAATAGTTATAGAAGGAATCATGTGGGATAAGTGACAGAAAAAAATCTGAACCACCACTATTAATGTGAATAAATTCAGAGCTGCAAAAAGGAAGAAATGCAAAGGTGATAATAAATATACCTTAAAAAAGTGTCAGCTACTCTGTATGCATTTGTTTTAAAAATGTCCCATTTTAGGTTTTAAGAGATTGCGAATTTTAAGGGAAATATTTAAAATTATTTAGCTCATCTCATGAACTTTATATTGCTCAGTTATATCACTTTTGAATTTAATGGTAGGAATGTTATTGAAAGTTAGGGACACTCACTGAAGCGTTAAAGTCTTCCTGGTGGAATAATTATGGAATGCAAGTCTGTGAAGTTAGAAAGGAATGCAGGTATTCTATTTTGAGGGCAGAAATTTGTAATTATATTACTAGTGTGGTTTAAGATTTAGGCCTCTTTTTAAACTGTCAGGAATGTATTATTCAAATTCGCTTTATATTTTCTGTTAAATTTACTTAGGATCAAAACCATTCAAGTGCAAGATATGCCATTTTGCAACAGCTCAGCTTGGCGATGCCAGAAACCATGTCAAAAGGCACCTTGGGATGAGGGAGTACAAGTGTCACGTCTGTGGGTGAGTAAATTGAAACCATCTCTGCTGTGGGGAGCCTGAAGCGTGTGCAGGAGGCCATTGTTTCAGGACTCAAAACTGATATGAGTAAGAGTGGCTAGAATTATGCATGCGTATCCTCCTTCCCATTGTTATGGTAAATTCCTTAAATACAGTTATGACATTCTTCTCCTACTTCTAATCCTGTACTGCAGATGAGCAATTTTATGGGCTACAAGGTCAATTTGAACCTGTAATCTGTAAATTGACTAAATTATAGGATGTTCATTCACATTGCCAGAGAGAACCGTAAATTCCATTTAAAGACATAAAAAAAATACATAATATAGCTTTAGAAGTGTATATGTATTTTTTCCTGTGCTATACTGCTTTAATTTTAATCCCATTAATGGCTCTTTGGATCCATTGGACATGTTCTGTAAGGAAAGAAGCAGATAAAGATTTAATTTCAGACAACTGGTTACTGATTGTTGCAGGGATGACGCTTAAAAAAGGTGCATAATGTGTATTTTTGTGTGACTTTATTTTGAAACTTGTTTTCCTTTTTTCAGTTAATGGTTCTTCCCCCAAAGAATCACTGGTGATGTGTAATTGTCACTCAGATGTGTTGCATTTAATAGGAAGCACTGAGATGCTTTAATGCAAAATTAATTAATTTACCAAAAATGTTTAAAAGGTTTTAAAATGCCATGACATCTGTGGTATATCATAGGACATTTAGAGCTGGATTTTAATACTCTACTTCTGATTAAAAATATATTTTAATGTTATTATGCTAGAGAAATTAACCAATAAGTGCATCCTATAAAAGCACTTTATGTGAACCTGACGAACCTGCAATTTTTATGGCTACTCCACAGCCAGTGCGGGCAAGCGGTGTGGAGCAGTGTGCGCACCTTAGCGTGGGCTTCCTTTTTAGTGGATGACTCTTCGGGTTGACACTATTGTGTCAATCCCTTCTGTGTCCAAACAGCTTCTGTTTCTTGTTGGATAGTGCTTTTCATCCCAGGATGCGGTTGCAGTTTTTTGACCCGTAAGAGAGTTTTGCAGATAACTTTGCAAGCAGTTTTATTAACCATGGTCAGTGATTTATTCATTGGCAGAATTGATGGTTCAGTGACTTGCAGCCTAAAGTAAATGAAGATGAACCTTTGCCCTAAAGCCCCTGAAGATCAGTGGGAGAATGAGTTTTGTTGCTGCTGATTTTAGCTGCAAAGGTCGAGTGCCAAGTGGTTCATTTTAATCGTGCTGGGTCTTGGAATTTTAAAAGATATCTCATTTGTTGTTTTTACCACAAGAGTTAAGGCAAAGAGGAAGGCCCTGCCTTCGTGAAAATTTGCTGTTAAATGACAAAAGTGGTTTCCTCCTCATTTCTGCAAAATAAGTAAACAGTTTGATATTCTGTTACTAGAAATCTAATTCCATTCACTTTTTATTAGGGTTGCTAAGATCCTGGAAAGAAAGGAAGAAATTTTTTCAAGAGAACAGTTTCTGACATATGTAACATAGAAACAATATGTATTTGATTGGCTTTAATTATATCATTTGAATAATGCACACTTAGCGTTAGTACATGGCTACATGGCTCACCACTTACTGCTGAAATGGTGTATTAGTGATTTAGATATTTGATTTCCAAAATGCAGAATTACAAATGTGTATAGATATATTGAATAGAGAGGTAGGTTTGTGTGTGTGTGTGTGTGTGTTTAGAAAATGCCATTGACTGATAGAGCCAAAATTGTGTCTTTACAATTATGGTAGCCATTGAATTTTAAATGACTGTGAAATCACAGCTCTAATCTTCAAAGTGAAATTTGATTTAAAAGTTACATAATAATTTTACAGGGCAGACAATTTTGCAGTGAGGCTGAAAGTTCTGAAGAATCTGTGCAGTGAAGAAATGTGTATTAGTCTATGTAGCTGAAACAGCAGTGATGAGTTCGGTGCCCTTTAAAGTTGAAGAAAAAGCATCATAGGTGTTCTGTATTTCATGTGTTTCAAAGGGAGAGGGCGATACAAAGATTGAAAATTAAAGTGGAAAACAAACGGCCCCCTCCCCCCACCCCGTTGGCGATCAGCTCAGTGGCAGTGGCGGGCACTGGCGCACTACCGTCACGGACAGTGTCAATTCATTATCACTGATGGCTAAATAATCTCAGAAATGCTCAGTGGACCTATTAGTTCCCGAATATAAGCAGCTCATGCTGCATTTCTTCATTAGCTTTAATTGCTATAAATTTTACCTTTTAAAAAATCATGCTTTAAAAGGTGAAGTGATCTTTCAGGAACATTAACTCTTGTAATTTTGTCACAAACAGAAGGTCCTGCTCTGTGTTTTCCTTTCTGTAGTGGTTAGTACCTTAGTTTCTTTTAGAATTTTATCAATAACCTCTTAATTATTTGAATTTGAAGCAATCAACTCTTCTCCAAATCCTTTTGATTAATAATATATGTGAAAACAAGGTACATTTAAAAATGAAATCATTATCCACAAAGTTGTACTGCTTTTTGATTAGTAATCTCTAGGTTTTCTTGAAAAGATGTTTTATGATAAAATTGATGAAGACAACAAACTGCATTTTGTTGAACTGAGTTCTGTAGTAATGTTTTGGGCTATATGTAATCGATTGGCTTCACATCTTCACATCACTGTGTCATATGTACACACCAGAGATGGGACTTTGTTGAGACTGCATTTAGGCAACTGTCTTTTGAACTTTCATTTCAGTTTGCTGATTTTCATTTCATTTCATTCAGTTTGCTGATTTTCTTTAAATCTTTAAGTTCAGTTCTAAGATGCTGTTCTTCCCCTCTCCTCTGTGAATCTGCCTCCGACGTGTCACCGACGTGAGTGCCGCTCTGGGGGCGGCCAGGCTGCCCAGCCCAGCGTGTGGGTCTTGTTTGCCTGGGCGTTACACGCTCACACCGGGGACAATTTTAAAAAAGTGTTGCTTTGCTTTCTGCTTGAGGACCACATAACAGAGACCTTCCCTGAAAAGCCTTTTATTTTACTTTCACTTTTGGGAGGACCAGTATTTGAATAGTACAGTTTCTTAACAATGTCTTTCTTACATCTGTGTGTGATCTAGAGTGGAATTTTGTAGAATATAGGTGTATTTATATAATATTTGAGATGAGATGCCATGTTCTATGGATCTGACAAAGGGCTTAGTGGGGGAGAAAAGAAGAAACAATAGGAAGTACTTTTGTGCAGAAGTTAGTGATTTTTTTTAGGGAACATGTTTAAAAATAGGTGAAATACATTTTTACTAAATTTACCAGATCTTAGTTATTTTTACTGGGCAAGGACTTACCTCCGTGCCTTAAAAAAGTCATTATGTGCATAGTGTGTTTTGTTAAATTCTCTTAATTCTCTGCGTGCGTGGTCATCCGCAGACACACAGCGCAGCAGATACGGCACTTTCTGGGGTGAAGTTTCTCTGGCGCTGCCGTTCGGTGTGTTCATTTCATTGCTGATTTCTGTACTTTTGTGAGGTTGTTCACCTCATGTTTATTATCCCTCTTTTACAGATGGTAAACTTGAGATTAAAAGTATTTTTAGTTATGTACTTAAATTATCCTGCTGCTCGTAATGGCAGACCACTGTTTTCCTTCCTTTTAACTATCGCTTTTCTTTATTTTTCTGCTGTTTGTAATATCTGTTGTTTTGGTTACCAGCTTTAATTTGTACTTGCTCTCCCTCTAGGGTGCTCGCGCTGGTGTGTGATAACTGCAACCCACCTCCTTCTCGCCCCTAGCCACTTTTGTTCTCTGCTTTTGCTTAGACTTACGTTCTTTTAAAAAAATTACTTGCTTAGTGCTTCACTTTGATATTCTGGTATTCAGTGTCTTTATTTTTTGGTATTTCTTTCTTTCACTTTGTCATATTATTGTTTTAGGTAACTGTAGTGTTTTCCCCTGTTCATGTGTTGATAATTTATTGGACATGCTGGTATTGTAGAAAGAATATATACCTAAAAAAGTGAAGATTTTATTGTCTTTTCATTGGGGTGAGAGGGATAAATTCGATCAATTTGGGTTTAGTTTTTGTTTTTTTTTAATGTTAGTTCCTAATAAGAAGGTAGATAACTGGTACATGGCCTGTGATTTCAATAAACGTAGGAAATAATACCTAGCTTTTTTTTTTTTGTGCCTTTATTCACAAAGACTTAGGGATTCACACACAGATTTAGGGATTGTGTAATTTTCTGAGTGATGCCTCTATGTCTAGTCTTAAATCTTGCGTATGGAGCTTAAATACTTGAATAGAATTTACCCAGACAGGAGAGATTAAGGGCATTTTATGTATCTGTCACCTTTAGATCCTTGAAAAGATTGTAGTCATTTCCTATGTGTATTAGTGTGCTTATGAACTGTTTATTCTTAGTTGGTTTAAGAAACCTTAAATAGAAAGTTACTAATGCAGCAAACTCTTTGTGTGTGTGTGTGTGTGGCATTACCTAGTTTTTGTGCATTAGAAGGGATCTCTATGTAGATGATTATAATGTCACTTTCTGACCTTTGCAGCTTGAATAATTGTAAATCATTGCTTCATAACGTGTCAGAGAATGTCTGTACTAGGCAATTAAATGGCAGAATATAATAGACCAAATTATTGCCTGTCATGTTTTCAACAACACAGTTAGTATTTGAGTTACACTTAATCATTACGTGCATTAGCAACTTCATTGGAATCCAGCTTCAGGCTGAGCATGAAATACATTACATTATTTAAACCTCTAATGGTACAAGTCATTTATTTGTGTTGAAGTGTACAACATGCAGAGTTTCATAAAGCAAGGAACACTTGAGAGCTTAATTTATCCAAATCAAAGTCTAAATGCAGATAAACACAAGTGGCAAAAATTAGTAATTTTTATAGGCTGGAAATATTTAAAAATACATGGTTGTGGGTAATTGTAGGCAGCAGGAATAAATTAAAATCACTATTTTTAGTCTGCTCTGAGAACTAAAGCTGTGTATACCTAAATCATTAAAAG